CCCGGCGACAGGTGGCAGAGGGCAACGGGGACAGGAGAGAGAGGGCAGCGGTCAGGGTTTGGATGCCCGGGAAGCCGCCACCCAGCATGGAGTTCAGGGCCGCTTTCTGCTTCCCGGGCATGGAGGCTGGGGCCAGTTTTGGCCTCTTGGGTGTCCAAACCCCGTCCGCTGCCCTCTCCCTCCTGTCCCCGTTGCTCTCTGCCTCCTGTCCCCATGAGGAGAGGAGGGAGAGGGCAGTGGATGGGGGTTGGATGCTCAGGAAGCTGAAAGCTGCCCTGACCTCCACGCCAGGCGGCGGTCCCTGGGAAGCCTCTCATGGCAGCTGTCACAGTCGCGGGGAAGCCCAGGCTTCCCTGGCAGCGGCGGTCCCCAGGAGGCCTACCACGGCGGTTGTCATGGCGGTGGGGAAGCCCGGGGTTTTCCTGCCTTTCTCCTTTCGTAAGTGGAAGCTCCAGCCGCAAGTCGAACCAAAATTGTGCAGCCGGAGCTTTCTGTAACTTGAAATTTTCGTAACCAGGGACGTCTGTATGTCAAGGCACCACTGTATCTTCTTGAGTGTCAGATCACTGTCTTGTATTTAAAGCTGACATGACATGTAGACACTTAGAGTGGAACAACACAGGATTCTGGCCACCATTGAGAAAGAGAGGAGTGGGGAGAGAGAAATACCGTGGGAGAAACAATGTTTCTTTTCTTAGCCACACATTCAGTTCAGATCTGCAGTGGCAGGAGGGGCTGAGGAGAAAAACAGGGCCTAGGAATATAGGTGACTTTATGAACGAACAACTACAAAATGCTTTACAGCTTTGGTCAGGTCTTATTGAGTCAGCCCATCTCATACTAGGTCTTCCTTCCTTCCTGCTGCTTCACATTTTCTCAGCAGTGTTGTCTCTTTTTTTTGATAAGTTCTATCTTCTCATTACATGAGAAGGATTTTGGCCACCTCTCAATAGCGGCCAAAATCCTATGTTATTCCACTCTAAATGTCTTCATGTCATGTATGATAGCCTCAGTGTACTGAGGTTTTTTGGTCACATTTCAAATGAGTGAATTTCCCCCTCCCGTCTACTTACTTCACTGTCTGGCTTTTACATAGTAATCAGTGTGGATAAACTTTATTTTGGTTGTTGGTGACATATCTTTACACTTAAGGATCTATTTTAATTTCTTTACAACTGTCCCTCCTGTCACAATTCAACTTCCCTCTAGGGAGTGCTGTTCATTGACTAGAGAGCATCCAGGTGTCTGGGTACCCCTATTCCGCTGGGCTGAGTCCTGGTAGCACCAGCTAGAGTTTATCACAGATCCTTTCCCTCAAGTCTAGCCTAAAAGATTCACTCCTGCACTTAATTATACTTAACAAGTACAGGCACCTTGTGGTTTCTGAAGACTCACTAAAGCTCAGAAAGATAGGACTCTGATATTAGCAATATCATGGCCTTGCTGCCCCTCTGGAAGCAGGCTCAGCAGACTTGCTGTTCAAAAGGTCATTCTTAAGGATTTAAAAAAAAATATTGAAAAATAAAGTCTTTATAGATATTCAGTTTGATGCATAAGCAAAGCATAGGTTACATTTCTAAAGATTATTGCAGTTAATGAACAACAAGTTCCAGCTAAGTAAAAAATAGCTAAAATTCTAAAAAGTTTTCTTCAGGGTAGGCAAAAGGCATAAGCCCCCTTTCTTTCTCTCATCACTACATCCCCCCCTTTCATCCTAGCCTAAAGAAAAAGGTAAAAAGAATCCAAAACCTCTCTTTAAAGAACATTCCACATGGCAAAATCTCCATTTTCTACTATCTAAGCCACACCCTTCTTCTTCATCCTTCAAAGTGTTGACCAATTGTGATTTAGGGTCATTGTCTCTCTGTTCATCCTTCGTTCTCATGAGAACACAGGTGTTGTTTTTCTTTCTCTAATCTTGATCCCAATTAAGATGGAATGTGGTGTCTAGTCCCCTTATCTTCGCCCTTGCTCTGCTGGCCAGAGAAATCTTCTCACAGTTGTTCAGAAAACATTCCCAGCATTCAAATCAGCCTTACACAGAACCATTTTGATTCCATTTTACATTTCTCATTACTACATAAACCATTCAAATTACAGGCTTTAAATTACATACTCATGATCATGACACCTCCAAGTCCAAATCTTTTGATTTCTTGGCTGTAGTCTCTGTTTGGATTGATGAATGAACCAAGGGAAAGGTGCCGTTCAGGAAAAATGCAAGAAAATGGAGCATGAACTTGCATGAAAGTCATTCCCCCCCCCATCCTATTTGCATAACCTTTTTCAGGCTGATGTTCATGTCTGGGTGTCAGGAAACCAAAGCAAAACCTGTGCACACCAACTAAATAGGAATTATTCACCGTAACTACATAGTCTTAAAGTGTTATATCACTTTAAATATTGACAAAAGTTCAGTCAGTACAGAGTACGCTCAGTGCAAACACTCAAATCCACCAGGAAGCCAAGAGATCTTGCTTGATAGTGTCACAGTTGTATCATCCAGTTCTTATCTTTAGAAGACACCAATCAAGACTTTGTCCCATATTTTCCTTTGTAACAGAATTTTCTTGGATAATGTCTTCAGTTCCTTTGCTGAAACTTTGGATTGTCCCACCTAACCTTGCTACTTACATGAATACCTGGTTTCAATTAATTTATCAAAGCTTGGGACATGAGTCTTATCAGTAAATGATCTAAAACATAAAAATACAAATTTATTTCCAGAAAATCCCAAACAGTATCCCTTCATTGCAAACTTGTCGTCCCATACTCATTGTTCCCCTCAACATGGACTTCCAGGGAAAGAAAATGCTCACTGGACCGCAGTTTCACCCACTCTCAAATACCCTCAGAGCACTTCATTGCAGCTGTTGTACAACTTTGGCAGAGGATTTTAAAGTGACAGTACAGATATGGTTCAAAGTAATTCCTCATTCCAAACTCATAAAAAACATGCATATTAAATATTATTTTTGAAACAATTCAGAATTAAGAAATTTAAACCTGAATGTCCATGCCATTTACTGTTGTAGGAGATATTTGGACATTGCTTTCTCACCTGACTTTTTAGAACACAAATAGAATAAAGAATTTAAAGCTGTTTTCTTTGTGAATCCTTTCTATAATATGACTCACTAGTGGTGCATCCATCACTTGATTCCTAATTCCTGATTGGTGTTCTTGTATCCTGACTTTGACTGGCCTTGTCGTGCTCCCCACATATATGTTTTACTACATTGGATGTTGAACATGTTGAAAATGACTTAGATCTAAACACAAAATCAACACCTGGGTTACTCAAATGAAATCCCTCAATACACTGACAACATACATTATACCGCCTACATTTGAAATGTCCTGCTGGTAAGGTACTTCCCTGAGTCCTAATATTAGTAAAGATGTCGGTGTGAACTAAAATGTCCTTTAAATTCCTCATTTTCCTAAAGTCAAACCCAAGTTTGCAAGATTTGGTGCTCCTTAGATAGGCCCTTGAGCTGGGAGGAGAGATTTTGTCTAGTACAGGCAGTTTCCTTGGGTGATCAATGAAGTGTTGACTCATTCAATGCAGAGAAAAGGATACCTGCCCACAGTAAGTGACTTGTAGAAACTACCTGTAGCGGATAGCCCTGACATCACCTGCCCGTCACAGAGGAACCTTGACGGGAGAGCCAATAGAGAGAGTAGAAGGCAGAGCCAGAGGCGGAGAGAGGAGAAGAAAAGACTGGTGATGACAGTTTTTGACAGTGAGAGACAGTTAGACAGTTAGAGAGACAATGGGGCATGTGAAATGGCAGTTAGGGTTTAGGAGAGAGAAGAAGAGGGTTATTGAACTGAGCTGACAGTTAAGAGAGTGAATTGAGAAGGTTAAAATATATTGAAGAAGCAGGAATGAAATTATAGGTACTATAAAATAGATATTGATTAAAAGTATGTAGTAGTTCGGAATAAAAGTACTTGCAACGCCATAGATAATCAAATCCTTGGTGATACCTGATACAGTTCATACGTGATTTACCTTTATGATTTACTTGACAATAAATGAATATTTGTTACTCAAACCTCTGATTCCTACGTTCAATAAACCTTAGTTTTGGCAGCACACATGTATAATATACATAATCGGAATTAGGAGGATAATACCTGGTGGCAGCTAGAAGAGAAAAGGGTGTGAGCCTTTGTGAGGGCCAAATAAACAGGGGCAACAAGGACGAATGCCACACTGCCACAAATGAGGTTTCCTGAATACGTGTGCAATCTTCAGGTCTGAAAGCAATTTGTGCACATCCATCAACACCCACCAGTGCTAACACATCCCTTGGCACCAACAGTTTTTCCTGCCCTGCCTTATTCTGGTAACATAGAAATGTGCCCTAACATTAGCTTTCAGTTCTTTCAGCTTTCTAAAATCTATGTAGAAATAATTTCAAGGCATATCAGAATAATAGGAGACAATGACATGAAAAATGTTCTCTCTGAATTTGAAGGTACTTCATTATTAGAAAGAATCCCTAGAGCAGAGTGGTAGAAGTGGTCTCCATGCTGGCAGCAAATAAATTCTCCACAACATATATTAGATTGGCCTTATGGAATTTAGCCACCATAGTTATTCTTCTCCTGGAAGGAAGAAAAACGGCTTAAAAGAAATGAAGTGAGAAACATGCATGGGCACATTTTTGAAGTAAATATCTAAGGGCTGGGAAAGACCCCATAACAAGCACTGGCTAGAAGGTCTTTAGGATACAAGCCACACACAAAAGAACTAAAATTACAAGACATGGCCCCAGGTCTGCCTCATCCCAAAATGGTGGTATAATACAGTAAGTATACAACAATACAGATTTTATTTGTCTTCAGTGTGGAAGGGGTTGTCACTGTCGAATTGGCCTTCTCAGCCACATTAGACGCTGTTCCAAGCTCTCTATTCAGAGCATGTTACCAACACACATATGTTGCAATTGAGAAGGAAGAATCTGCCATTTATTTATCTAACGCATCAGTCAGTACAGCAAACAGGTTTATTACCGATATATTCGGCATATACAAATTTTATGTAGTCAATATTGTGTCAAACATTACTATGATCCAGAAGCAAATGGATCCGTCTATGCTTGATGTGATCAAGAAACAGAAGCAAGAATTACACTATGTAGATAAAAGGTTGTGATGCTTAAACATAAACAGACCCTTGATTCTGATCCTGCAGCAATGGCACATGAACCAAGTTCCCTTTTTTAAACTAAGAGATGTATCACTATGAGCTTTATGAAATTTAACAAAACCGCATGCCAGTCATATAAAAGCATGGGTCAATTCCATCAAGCTTCCCCCCAACCTTTTCCTTTTGTTTATTTAAAACAGTAATAGTAGCACAAGGGAAACTTAAGATATGTGATTAAACATGGGTCAATAAAATTTAGTCAAGGGGCTGCCACATCAGATTAACTTCAGAGGCAAGAATACTTAACAATGCTCAACGTACAGGTGAAGCATTCTGTGATCTTGAGACATCTCAGCGTGGCAGAGCACAGATGTGGAAGGGCATGGGAGGTGTTGTCAACCCAACTGCTCGGGTGAGATCCAGGTCTTCTTTAGAAGTTCCAGGAGGTGGCTGGAAGGTAAATCTCTGCAGGAGGCTTGTAAAGAACAGAAAGAGCTCCATTTTGGCCAAGGTCTCACCTGCACATATCCTGCGCCCTGTAAGAATGCCCAGAGAACAAGATAACAGAGGTTACTAATATTTTGACATTGTATACAATGTTTCATTTTTTTTAAAAAAAAAACTGCCTTTGCTTTCCAAGAATAGTTCTGCTGACAATAATATTTGCAGGGTTTGTTTGTAGATTTTGAATGAAGCGTTATGGATAGCACTGTGTTGTGCAGATTGTCTTTTTTTCTTTAATTTTTAAAATGTAATAACATCCATAGTATGACAATGCAAGTTCGAATTGTAGTACAACACTATCATATTCTTTCAGTAGATTGTCTTTATACATCCACTAGTTCATATTTTAACATAATTAACTAATTCTTTTAAAAAATATTACATGCCAGCAACCCGAATTACTTCCCACATCACATTCTTCTTTTCTAGAGCTAATTCCATATGTTAATAACAGTTGCCAGGTTTTCATAAATGTATCCTGTTTTATTTCTCCTCTATATATTTTAATTTGATTGGTCAGCTTTTCCATCAGGACCATTTGCCAGATTCTGTTCTCAAATTTTTGTGAAAGATATTGAGCATTTCTCCAGTTTTGTGCAATTTCCACTCTTGCTGCACCAATAAGATGTGCAATTAGGTCTTTATTGAATAATTCTTCATTTCCATCCTTAAATATTGAAAATAATAATAAAGCTTCATTTTAAATTATTTTTTGATTCAACAATGTTTCTATCCATTTAATTATTTCCCACCAATATGCTTCCACTTTGGGGCAAGAGATCCACATGTGTTCTAGTGTGCCTTTACTTCCACACTTTCTCCAGTACTCATCTGAGATCTCTCCATTAATTTTGTGTAATTCTGTGGGGTACCAATACCATCTGTGGACTACCTTCAAAACCATTTTTTCTACTTTGACTGATATTGATTTATATGGATATGTAGTCCATATTTCCATCCATTATTTCTCTGATATACTGATATTCAAATTAGTTTCCCATGTTATTTTAGATCCCATACCCCTGGGAAATGCTTTCTCAACTAAATGTTTATATATTACTGAAGTTATTCCTTTCCTTTTATTTCCATCTTTTTCTGTACTATATTGTTCTAGTTCTGTGAGCGTTCTCATAGGTCCAAAACTTTGGTATAATTGAGTTGCTAAATTTCAAATACGGTATTACTGAAGTTACTCCCTTCCTTTTATTTCTATCTTTTTTATACTATATTGTTCTCATAGGTTCAGAACTTTGGTATAATTGAGTCGCCAAATTTCTTACCTGTATTAATTGTAGCCAATTCGTTTTTATTTCCTTTGTTTTGTCCTCTAACTGTCTAATTGTTATTGGTTTCCCTGCGTCAAATAAATTCCAGTTCTTTTCCAATTTTTAAATTGTATGTATTTCTCTCTTGATTTATAGTATATAGGTGTTAACTACACCAATATCCTCATCCCTTTCCATTTCAACCTAATCTGGGATTTTCTTCTGTCCGTATAAATGTTATTACTTGAGTAATTTGAAAGGCTTCATAATACTTTAGTAATTGTGGTATCCCTAGCCCTCCCTTTATGCTTTGACCATATTTGACACTGTTTATGGACCTTAATTTTTTCCCTTTTCTGCCAATAAACCTTTCTAGTTTTTTCTGCCATAATTTTATTTTTTAAATTTCAGGTTGTGGTGAAATAAAAATAAAATTTTGGGTAATATATGTGCTTTAACTAATACTATTCTTCCTAACATTGATATATTCAATTTAGTCCAACTTCTGATTTTTTTTTTTTACTGATTTGAACATTTTTGTAATTTCTATATATTAATTGGTTTATACTTTTTCTTATCCAAATTCCCAAATACAGTGGTGCCTCGCTTAATGGGCGCCCCGTTTAGCGATGAAACCCCATAGCAATTAAGTCCAAAATGGCCACCAGGTAAAAAAAATGGCTGCCCGCTGTGTTTAGGGATGGATTCCTCGCTTACCGGGCAGCAAAAATGGCCGCTGTATGGAGAATTAACGTCGTTATGCAAGGCACCACTGTATTTGAAACATGAATAATGTAAGTCCAGATTTGACTTCTTTTTAATTTCTTTTTGTTCTGATATAGAGATATTTATACATAACAATTTGGATTTTTGATAATTAATTTTTAGACCCGTATAATAACAATGTTCTTGTAAAATTTGTTTTACTGTTTCTACGCTTTTTATTGGGTTCTCCAGAAACAGAAGCGTGTCATCTGCATAGTTTATTTTATGTTTTCTATTTTTAAACACCAAGCCTTTAATATTTTAATTTTCTCTTATTTGTGCAGCAAGTGGTTCTATTGCTATTGCAAATATAATTGGGGATAAGGGGTCACCTTGTCTCATTAGTCTAAACAGAATAAATGTGTCTGATTCTATTCTACTCGTGAACACTTTAGCCTCCGCCCCATATATAATTTTTAAGACATTAATAAATTTCTCGCCCATATTCATTTTTTCTAATAATTCAAACATATAACATTATTCTACACAATCAAAGGCCTTAAGCGCATCTAACAAGAGTACTGCTAATTTGTTCTTTATTTGCTATATTTATGACATTCAGAACTCTATGTATGGCAACCAACATCTGCCTTCCTGGCATAAACCCATATTGATCTGTTTGAATGTATTTAGTAATAAAACTATTCATTCTCTGTGCCAATAACAAAGAAAAAAAATCTTTTGGTTTTGGTTTTGTAATGTTATTGGTCTATATCACGAGAGGAGTTTCCGGTTTTAATATAGTCATTATCCGAGTGTTCTCCATGATTTTGGTATTTCTTCACCTTCCAGTAAACAATTTTAACAAATGCCCTATGATGTCCTCTTCCCAAATTTTATAAAATTCTGTTGTAAACCCATCACTACCTGGTAATTTACCCTTTTAATTTTCTTAAATAACTGATTTTATTTCCATTATTGTTACTGGAGAATTAAGTAGCTTTTTATGATTTCCTATAATGTATTTAGAAATTTCTTAATGTTTGTATCTGGTGTTAATTCTGTTTCATACAATTTTTATAATACTCCATAAATGCTCTTACTATTTCTTGTTGTGAAGTTACTATTGTTTCTTCCTTTGTTTTCACAGAGACAATTGGTTAAATCGCTGTACTGCAGCTAAAACTGTGCTCACGACCTGGGGTTCAAATCCCAGGTAGCCGGCTCAAGGTTGACTCACCCTTCTATCCTTCCGAGGTCAGTAAAATGAGGACCCAGCTCGCTGGGGGGGCAATGTGTAGCCTGTATAATTAAAATTGTAAACCGCCCGGAGAGTGCTGGAAGCACTATGGGGCGGTATATAAGCAGCACACTTTTGCTTTATTGCTTTCTTTTTCATTGCGTATGATAGCAACTTAGAATTCTTACTCCCATGTACAGAATAATTTCTCTTTAGATAGTTCATAGCTGCTTGGGTCTTACTTGTTGTCGCATCCACCCAGTGTCCCCTGTTTATTCCTTAAACATAGGTTCACCCTTTGGATGCATTTGCTCTTTACACGCTGCCATCAAGTATTATTCACACAATACTAAATACATATTTCAGACACGTGTGCTGCCAAGTATAACAGGTTTATTGAACTTTTAAGTTTGAGAATCACAGAAGTAAATTTTAGATGTTCTTCTATTGTTAGGTAAACCACAATTGGAAATCATAGATGTTCAGGATCATTCATTAAGTAGGATTTGGTTATGATGCATTGGTTTGAATGTATTTTTATTCACAACAACTATATACTTTTACTAATAATCTATTCTCTATTCCTTATAACTCTTTCCCTATTCTGTCTATCGCTCCAACTGTCCAATCTATGTACATTGGTGCCTCGCATTATGACATTAATTCATTCCAGCGAAATAGCTGTAGAACGAAAACGTTGTAATGCGTGGTTATGATGCATTGGTTTGAATGTATTTTTATTCACAACAACTATATACTTTTACTAATAATCTATTCTCTATTCCTTATAACTCTTTCCCTATTCTGTCTATCGCTCCAACTGTCCAATCTATGTACATTGGTGCCTCGCATTATGACATTAATTCATTCCAGCGAAATAGCTGTAGAACAAAAACGTTGTAATGCACAAAGGGAAAAAACCATAGAAACACATTAAAACCCATTTAATGTGTTCCAAAGGGCTTGAAACTCACCATCTAGCGAAGATCCTCCATAGGGTGGCCATTTTCGGTGCCTGTAATGTGAGGAATCCGTCCCAGAAAACAGCGGGGGGCCATTTTGTTTACCTGACAGCCATTTTGAAACCATCAATCAGCTGTTGGAAAATCATCATTTTGCGAAGAATCGGTTCCCGAAGCAGGGAACCGATCATCACAAAGCGAAATTTCCCCATAGGAAACATCATTTTGCAATCACAAAAGCGATCGCAAAAAGTTCATTGTAATGAGATTTTGTCGTTAAACAGGGCAATCGTAAAGTGAGGCACCACTGTATTAACCTTCTCAATTCAATCTCCTAACTCTCCCTCTTCAGATCCCTATCTATCTCCTTCCCTCTCTAACTCTCTGTCATTCTAACTTTTCAACTGTCTCTTTGACTCCACCCCTCCTGCCCTTTCATAGGCTCCTGCCTTTTTAGCTTACATGATGGACAGTCTGGAGTGAGGTGATGTGATGGCTTTCCGCCACACTTGTATCTAGTGCCTCTAATTCTGTTCTGGCTCTTGTTAGTTCATTATATATCTTGTTTGATCTGGATTTTTTATGTTGCTCTATTAGATTTTTAATTCTATTTTCCACTTTTCTTGCAATCAATTTCTTTCTTTAATCTAGAGCTTTCCATAATGAACTTTCCTCGGAACACTAATTTTAGAGTGTCCCACAACAATGCAGTTTTCCAATATTTATTCCGTCATTTGATGCCTTTCTTTTTTTTATGCTGTATCTAACTTTTGACTTAAAATGCAGTTTGTGTCCCCTCCCAAAATAATATCACCCCTGGCAAATTTTTGTACCTCCTTCAATAATTTTTGCATAAATATTGCTTGCTCTATATTAGGGGCATAATAAGAACCTAAAGTCAGCAATTTATTTTCTAGATTTCCTTTCACTAGAATATATCTTCCCTCAGGATCTCTTAATTGGTCTATCACTTCAAATTTTAAATTTTTCCTGAGGATTATAGCCACTCCACTCTGAAAGTTATATCTTTTGTGTAACTTCTCAAAAGGATTTCAGGTATTATTCCTGGCAACCTACCATAAACATAGCAGTGACAAAATGAAGCATGTGGACACAGATGAAAGTATACCAATAAAATAATAGTTAATGGTAATAAAGTATTAACAGAAACTTTGAAAATGTAATAAAATCTCATTTTAACCCACCACAGAGTTCTATAAATGAAATGGATTTAGCTCTGTACTACAGAGCATATCAGAAGCCCACTCCATATCTGCACAACTCTGTACCTGCAGAGAAAGGCATGAATGCATCTCTTTTGACAAACTTTCCTGAAGAGTCAAGAAAATGCTCAGGATAGAACTCATGTGGCTTCTCCCACTGCGATTCATCACGGAGCACAGAGGTCAGCAATGGAATGATCTGAGTTCCCTGCAAAGGAAGAGGCTGTTTTTTAAAGGAATGTACCACCCAAATAACATTTAGACATGCTTTACAGTATGGAGCTGATGTTCACCAACTTCTGACGAGCATGTTGCTTAGACTGTCATTCTGTTGAATATTGCCAGGAATTTCTTATTTATTTATTTGATTTATACCCCGCCTATATGGTCTACTCGACCACTCTAGGTGGCTTCAAGTACAGGATAAAACAATAAAACACAAGAACATTACATAATCATTTGATACAGTTACAATAAAATAGAGTGAGAATAAAATAAGAAGGAATAGAAAAGAAATCAGGTATTGACTGGAGGGAAGGCCTGGATGTACAACCATGTTTTTAATTCGGTTTTAAAGATTCCCAGCGTAGGGGCCGCATGAATCTCTGAAGGGAGGCTGTTCCAGAGGTGAGGAGCAACTGCCGAGAAGGCCCGGTTTCGTGTCTTTTCCTTCCGGGCCTCTCTCAGCATCAGGCTCCCCAGCCTCACCTCCTGACTCGCGCGGGTGATCCAGGTAGACCTTGGTGGGAGCAGGCGTTCCGCCAAATATTGAGGTCCTAAACTGTTTAGGGCCTTGTAAGTAAGCATTAAGACTTTGAAGTCGACGCGGAAACAAATGGGCAATGCAATGCTGCCAGAGTTGGAGAAATATGTTGGTATTTTCTCACTCCAGTGAGGAGTCTGGCTGCCGCATTTGCACCACCTGAAGTTTCCGCATCAGCCTCAAAGGCATCCCCACGTAAAGGGCATTATAGTGGTCTAATCTTGAGATAGGGCCGCAGCCGGGCGATCCGCCAGAGTTGGAAAAAGGCAGTGCGGACTACTGACGCCACCTGCGTTTCCATGGTGAGTGCTGGGTCCAGATGTATGCCCAGACTGCGGACCCCACTCTTCGCGGCCAGGGTCACCCCCCCCAAATGTGAGAGAGTCACCTAAGCTGCCAACCACGGGGTCGCCCACCCTCAGAACCTCCGTCTTAGTCGGATGAGCTGTGACTGCAGCTACATCAAGCTAATCACCTTTGGAATGAAGTAGCCTTTGAGAGTAACATCTGTAGTAGTTGCATGTGACAAATTGGTTGGGAGGATATCGGCAAACCTTTGAACTTCATGGACAACAGCATCTGTGTATGGCATTCTTATTCGGTGTTCAGTCCTGGGCTGAGCAGTTCCAACAATGTCATCAATCTCTGCTTGGACTTTTTCTGGGGGAACAAAAGAATCCTTGCTATCAAGAGCAATTGTATGCTTTTGGATCTGCATCAGTATGTGTAAAGACTAAATGCTGAAACATGTGTTTCCCACACAGAAGTCTCAATATAGTCACCATAGATGTAGTCAGCTAAGTCAGTTAATTTGCCCACAGTTTCAAATCCTGCTCCACTTCCTCTATTCAGTCCTGTCATTCACATCACTATTACCTCCAAATATTTTTAAATAGTGGTAAATGGGTTCTGACCCTTTGCATTGCAGCTCCCCTCTGGTGGTGAGATTCCTACAGTGAAGTTTGTGTGTGAGGTGATCAATTGCACAGCTTCTGTCTTTTGCTTTGTATTAAAATATAATAAAGCCAGCCAAAGCTAAGTTCCTACAGCAGCTGAGCTCCTTGCTGGGTAATGAAAATAAACATTTCAAAAAGAAAAAGTTCAATAATTGAACAGAAGGTATTTGATCCACTAGAGCAGCTGTGGGCAAAGTGTAGCTCTTGAATGAAGTGGTGAAGGAGAACTGGACAGAATAAGAAATATCTGCTTCCACCACAACCTGCTTGCACAAGCTTTTATCTCCTCCCCCCTGCACCTGAAATATAACTGAAAAAGGGATGGGAAAGTCTTCATTTCTCTTCTCCAAAGGAATTTAGTATATCAGTTTACCCTAGAGATGTGGAGATTTGTGTTTCAGACTACAGCTCCTAGAATTCCCTGGGCAGTGTCTGGAGAAATCTGAGGAGCTGTAGCCCCCAAATATAATCTAAACACCTTTGGTTTTCACTGAGTGGCAGAGAAGCTATGGGCTATGCCGTGCAGGAACACCCAAGACGGACAGGTCATAGTGGAGAGTTCTGACTAAATGCAATCCACCTGGGGTAGGAACCGGCAATTCCCCTCCAGTATCTTTGCCAAGAATGCCCCATGATCAGAAACAAAAGGCTAAAAGATATGACGCTGGAAGCTGGGACCCTCAGGTCAAAAGGCGTCCAACATGCTACTGAGGAAGAGCGGAGGACAAGTACAAGTAGCTCCAGAGCTGATGAAGTGGATGGGCCAAAGCCGAAAGGACGCTCAGCTGTGGACGTGCCTGGAAGTGAAAGGAAAGTCCGATGCTGGAAAGAAAAATACTGCATAGAAACCTGGAATGTAAGATCTATGAACCTTGGGAAGCTGGAGGTGGTCAAACAGGAGATGGCAAGAATAAACATCGACATTCTGGGCATCAGTGAACTAAAATGGATGGGAATGGGTGATTTCAACTCAGATGATTATCATGTCTACTATTGTGGGCAAGAATCCCGTAGAAGGAATGGAGTAGCCCTCATAGTCAACAAAAGAGTGGGAAAAGCCGTAATGGGATATAATCTCAAAAATGATAGAATGATGTCAATACGTATCCAAGGCAGACCTTTCAACATCACAATAATCCAAGTTTATGCACCAACCTCCATTGCTGAGGAGACTGAAATTGAACAATTTTATGAAGATTTACAACACCTTCTAGAACTGACACCGAAGAAGGATGTTCTTCTCATTCTGGGGGACTGGAATGCTAAGGTAGGGAGTCAAGAGATAAAAGGAACAACAGGGAAGTTTGGCCTTGGAGTTCAAAACGAAGCAGGGCAAAGACTAATAGAATTTTGTCAAGAGAACAAGCTGGTCATCACAAACACCCTTTTCCAACAACACAAGAGGCGACTCTATACATGGAAATCACCAGATGGGCAATACCGTAATCAGATTGATTATGTTCTCTGCAGCCAAAGATGGAGAAGCTCTATACAGTCAGCAAAAACAAGACCTGGAGCTGACTGCGGTTCTGATCATCAGCTTCTCATAGCAAAATTCAAGCTTAAACTGAAGAGAGTAGGAAAAACCACTGGACTAGTCAGGTATAATCTAAACCAAATCCCTTATGAATACACAGTGGAAGTAAAGAACAGATTTAAGGAACTAGATTTGGTGGACAGAGTGCCTGAAGAACTTTGGATAGAGGCTCGTAACATTGTACAGGAGGCAGCAACAAAAACCATCCCAAAGAAAAGGAAATGCAAGAAAGCAAAGTGGCTGTCCAACGAGGCCTTAGAAATAGCAGAGAGGAGAAGGGAAACAAAATGCAAGGGAGATAGGGAAAGTTACAGAAAATTGAATGCAGACTTCCAAAGAATAGCAAGGAGAGACAAGAGGGCCTTCTTAAATGAACAATGCAAAGAAATAGAGGAAGATAACAGAAAAGGAAAGACCAGAGAGCTGTTCAGGAAAATTGGAGATATTAGAGGAACATTTTGCGCAAAGATGAACATGATAAAAGACAAAAATGGGAAGGACCTAACAGAAGCAGAAGACGTCAAGAAGAGGTGGCAAGAATACACAGAGGAATTATATCAGAAAGATGTGGATATCCCGGACAACCCAGACAATGTAGTTGCTGACCTTGAGCCAGACATCCTGGAGAGCGAAGTCAAGTGGGCCTTAGAAAGCCTGGCTAACAACAAGGCCAGTGGAGGTGATGGCATTCCAATTGAACTATTTAAAATCTTGAAAGATGATGCTGTTAAGGTGCTACATTCAATATGCCAGCAAGTTTGGAAAACTCAACAGTGGCCAGAGGATTGGAAAAGATCAGTCTACATCCCAATCCCAAAGAAAGGCAGTGCCAAAGAATGCTCCAACTACCGTACAATTGCACTCATTTCACACGCTAGCAAGGTTATGCTCAAAATCCTACAAGGTAGGCTTCAGCAGTATGTGGACCGAGAACTCCCAGAAGTACAAGCTGGATTCCGAAGAGGCAGAGGAACTCGAGACCAAATTGCTAACTTGCGCTGGATTATGGAGAAAGCCAGAGAGTTCCAGAAAAATATCTACTTCTGCTTCATTGACTATGCAAAAGCCTTTGACTGTGTGGACCACAGCAAACTATGGCAAGTTCTTAAAGAAATGGGAGTGCCTGACCACCTTATCCATCTCCTGAGAAACCTATATGTGGGACAGGAAGCAACAGTTAGAACTGGTCATGGAACAACTGAGTGGTTCAAAATTGGGAAAGGAGTACGGCAAGGCTGTATATTGTCCCCCAGCTTATTTAACTTATATGCAGAATACATCATGCGGAAGGCTGGACTGGAAGAAACCCAAGCCGGAATTAAGATTGCCGGAAGAAATATCAACAACCTCCGATATGCAGATGATACCACTCTGATGGCAGAAAGTGAGGAGGAATTAAAGAACCTTGTAATGAGAGTGAAAGAGGAAAGTGCAAAAAACGGTCTGAAACTCAACATCAAAAAAACTAAGATCATGGCCACTGGTCCCATCACCTCCTGGGAAATAGAAGGGGAAGATATGGAGGCAGTGTCAAATTTTATCTTCCTGGGCTCCATGATCACTGCAGATGGAGACAGCAGCCCTGAAATTAAACTCTTGAGAGTTCCCTGGACTGCAAAGAGAACAAACCTATCAATTCTAAAGGAAATCAACCCCGAGTGCTCATTGGAAGGACAGATCCTGAAACTGAGGCTCCAGTACTTTGGCCATCTCATGAGAAGAGAAGACTCCTTGGAAAAGACTTTGATGTTGGGAAAGTGTGAAGGCAAGAGGAGAAGGGGACGACCGAGGATGAGATGGTTGGACAGTGTCATCGAAGCAACCAACATGAATTTGACACAACTCCGGGAGGCGGTGGAGGATAGGAGGACCTGGCGTGCTCTGGTCCATGGGGTCACGAAGAGTTGGACACGACTAAACGACTGAACAAACAAACAAGAGTGGCAGACAGCTCAGCTGAGGTGTTCCAGTATTCTGAGTTTGATGAGTTTCATTATTTATGTACATTTTTTTAAAAAGAGAGAGGGGGAATGAGATATTAGTATTCACCTCACTTCATTTTCTATGTCTGGAATGTCCTCTCACATTGCTGGACACAGCCAAAATAGCCAAGGCTTTATCATTTGAGAAAGGATACCAACTCACAATAATGGTGACTTGTGAAAAACAACCATAAATGAATTTTTCTGAATACGGGCAGTCTCCAGATGTGCAAACACTTTGCACAGGTCCATCCACATCCACCAGCGCTAATACATCCCATAGCACTAGCAGCATTATCTGGCCTTTTTTATCCCGGTAATGTAGAAATGTGACCTAACATTCTCTTTTGGTTCTTTCAGTTTCTTAAAAGCTATGTAGAACTAAGCTTGCTTGAAGCACAGTGAGTTAAATATCTAGCTGGAAAGCCAGAGATTTGGTGTTCAGTTTCCCACTGTGCATCCCAGAAAAACCAGTCTGTGTGGCCTTGGGCAAGCTACATAATCCAAGGATGCCCCCAGAAGAAGGGAATGGTGCACCACTCGTGAGTACTCTCTACCTAGAAGACCCAGATAAGGGTCACCATAAGACAGAATTGTCTTGATGGCACATAGGATCATAGAATCATGAAATAACTGAGTTGGAAGGGGCTTGTTAGGTCATCACATCCAACCCCCTGCTGAGTGCAGGAATCCAAATCAAAGCAGATCTGTCAAATGGTTGTTCAATATTCTCTTGAATGTCTCCAGCGTTGAAGCACCTCCCATTTCCAACATGATTATTATTGCTATATACAACTAATAAAAGGTGTCCTAGAATAACAGAGACAACTAAATGAAAAATGCTCACTCTGGATATCAGGATACTTCATCATTAGCAAGAGGCCCCAGCGCAGAGTGGTAGAAGTGGTCTCCATGCCGGCAGCAAATAAATTCCCTATAACATATTTTAGATTTTCCTTGTGGAAATATCCATCATTCTTCTTTGTCTTTTTCTTCATCTAAAACAGAAGACAGAAATGAAATGAAATGAGAAATATGCCTGGGCAGATAATACAGTAAATACCTAAGGGCTGGGAAGACATCTATAAAGTCAAGGTCAAAACTTTGGCATTTGAACAAGGTCTCAGAGCACTAGCAAAGTTTTAAGTGTCCTACTTTTGTTCCACTATGTTCAGCTAAGATGGACTACCACAGACTCAAACTACCAAAATGTGCTAATAGTCTGAGTCTCTGCTGGTCCATCATGGCTGAATTTTTATCCCTGAAAGTATTAAATACCAGTGTTAACCAGATAATCAGAACAACATTTGCGATCAATTTTCAGCCATTCATTTGTCCAACTAATTGGATATAATTATACCATGATAATCTATTAGTTTGAAGTTTACCTATAATCTGATCCTTCAATCTCATTTTAATCATCCAATCCTTCAATCTGGCAACTTTTTAATCCTTAAACAAATCAACTAAACCCTTCAAGTTTCCTGGGAAATGTTCTATTTCAATCACTAATTTTAATGGTGAAGTAAAGGGACATAACTTCTTTTATATCTATTCCACACATTTAACATATTTCTTTAAAAAGTGTTATTCAGCTGATTTATTGTATTTCTTTTTACTACATTAAACAAATATTTTTCAGTATTCCCATTTATTTCTGAGGATTCTGTATTCCACCAAATTAAGTTTCCTTTGTTATATATAATATCTCCAATAAATCTTAACTGATTCGCTGTGTAATAATTTTTTATATTAGGAATACCTAAACCTCCATTTTTTTGAGCCTTATACCAATATTCTTTATTTATTCTAGATTTTTTACCTTGATTAGAAAATCCATTAATTAATTCCTGCCAATACTTAAGATCTTCTTCTTCTAATTGTATTGGGAGCATCCTGAATAAAAAGGTAATTTTTGGTAATATTTTCATTTTGATCATGGCTATATTTATACCTAAATATTTAACATAATTACAGATTTTAAAACTATATCATAGACGGTTATAGAAGTGAAACTTCTCTGATAAGAAAAATAAAACATTCTTCCCTGTTTTGTTTTTCTTCTTCTCTAACAGACTCAATGCATTCTTACACAGAGCCTGCTTTGGTAGGACACTCAATGCATTCTCTATGGGAGTTGCTACATGTGCAAACCTAATAGACTTTTGCATATTCTCCACCATCGACACAGACTACATGAGAGTAAATATCGACTTTATCAATCATTTTTCAGTGACCTCCAACAGCACATTGCTTCTTAAATCAGCACATTGCTTCTTAAAAGCTTACTTTTTTTCCTTTTTTCCTTTTTTTTCAATTTTACAATTTTTTTGTCCTGAAATAACCTTTAAAGTGCAGCTTGTTCGGCTACATTTCCTTCTACCATTTTAAGGATTTAGTAGTTCATTCAAAAATTCAAACTCTGATAGTTCCCTCCTCCTAAAAGGTGAGCACAAGGATGTCTTGTTTCTAGATTTCCTCTGTTGCTCAATAGTCCAGTATCTTGACAAGAGTCGAGTATCTTGACAACAGTCACAGTGATGGAAACAATAAAAATACTGGCTAAAAGGTCCTCTACTTTAGATTACAAGCCACATACAAAAAAAAATCTAAAAAATACGATGGGTGGTTCCTGGTCTGAATGGAGTGGCTCATCCCAAAATGGTGGAGTGCTCACCAGTCAAGAAGAATCGTTCCTGCAGAAGAAATGTGATTCGTTGTACAGAATAAAGCTGAATTTCCATAGGTAAGTTTAATACAGAGATTCCCTCCTAAAGAGGGAGGTTCTTTAATCTATCATCCATCGCTCAATATTTTAAAAAAATGTTGCTAGGTTTTCCAGTTAAAATAAAGCACTCCCCATTCTGTATCTAGTTAAAAGAGTCAATTACCTCTTGCTGCTGGATGAGAAATGTATCAATGAAGCTCCTCTGGTCATTTTTGTCCAGATTTTCTAGGTGGTTTAAGAACGTGGTAGTTATATAGGCATGCAACTCATCTCTGTTATTAAGGATGATCTTACGAGCACCAAACAGAAAGCCAAGTGCAGGAAACATGTTATACAGCTAAAAGTATGAAATAAGAGAAGAAAAGGCAATATTAACATATTCCAATTCTCTCTGAGAGATTTTGTTCCATGTCAATATTTTGAAGAACTTTCACTTTATATACCTTACGTTCTAGACCTGAATAATCCATCATTGTAGCAGTCACCCTGTCATGCATGTTCAGCAGTGCATTTGCATGAACCAATAGGGAGCTGTTGGGAGGTGGAACCAGCTATATAGAAGGGGGGCTGAAGCAGAGTGTGGAGTAGATAGAGAAGAGATAGAGGAGAGAGGTTTGAAGAGAAGGCTTGGGTTTTGAGGCAGAGATAGAGTTTAGGGAGTGAACAGTCAGAGTGTTATCTGTATTAGTTAAGTATAGAAAAGTTTAAAGGAAAATACTGAACACTTTGTGTAACTTTAAGAATGTGCTTAAGAACTATCTTGTATCTTGCCAAATGAAGAAGGTTTCAATATCTCTTAAAATGTACTTCTTCATGTTTATTGATGCTTTAATAATAGAGGTCTTGGGGAAGATTGTCTCTAGCTTTCAAAGCAGGCTTGAGAAATGGTAATGTGTGGGGATATGCTCACAATAAATTGTCCTGAGCTGACATGAACTTTTATATATTCCACCTTGGCTGCTTGTCGTGGGTCAACTTGTAGTCATCGTTCACATAGAGAAGAGGACACATACCAGGACATCAAATGAACTAGAATAGCATCAGCTGTATTTCAGCGCATGTGCTTGGTCTGGTCAATAGAAGCCATAAGTATCACCACAAAGATAAAAGTCTTTAAGAGTGTTGTCATATCTACTGCAATATATGTCTGGGGAAAATGGAAATGCACAACCAAGATGACTAAACTATCCGAGCGCAGGAGTCTCAGTCTCAGAACCTGTGGTACGTATGTGACAAATTGCAATACCCCAATTTCTTGGGAGACAGCCCTATATGCTTTTTCTCCAAGATTTCAATATGATCCATGTTTCCTAACATAGATTAGATGGAAAGCCAGTTTTCAGTGAATACTGAGCAGGAACATCCACATTACTTTGTCCTCCATAGGCTGACTGAAACTATGTTTCAAGAAAAAGTAGTTCAATTACCATGACTATGGGGCTTCCAAGGAGCCGGACATTTTCATTGACTAACTGCAGCAGTCGTTGAATTGTGGGATCTTCATATTCAAATCGCTTGCCAAGTAGAATGGACACAATAATATTGGCAACAGCTGCATTCATAATTGTAGTCGTCTCAAAAGGTTTACCTGTATATAAAATTAAACTATCAAATGGGAAATATATCAGGAGTACATTTTCTTCCCAATACCTGAATACGCCAGTGTCAGTGTACTCATGTGAATGATACACATGCATTAGACTCTGAAGCTCCATTACTTAATATTTTAAGTTTTCCAAACTAAAAATACTAAATACTCAAAAGACCATTACACAGGAATTCTATGGACTTATGAATACACTGGAGGCATAAGCACATTAGTTCCAGAGAAAATCCTGGGAATTTGTGTCCCAGGAGTAAGTGATATTGCATAATTCTGTTGCAAGTATAAAGTAGTGATCCCAGAAGAATATATCAATTAACTTACCTTCATAAGATTCAAACTTCTTTATCAGGACATTGCACTCCTCAACAATTTTGTCTTCTATGGATCTCTTGCCCATTCCATAGTCCCGCAATGTGGTTATGGCAAACCGCCGCATCACTTTCCAGTTCTCACCATGAGAAAAACTGATACCTTGAGGAGAATAAGCAAGGGCACAGTTTCTAGCTAGTACCAAATGAACACCACCCACCTGCACAACTAGGTAATGTATTGTCTTGAGTAGTGTAGAAAATAGGCACAAATGTGTGAGAGAACAAACTTATCTCGTCTATCACTCAAAGGCTCACTTAGTTGGTTTGTTCATTCCAACAATTTACATGGCCTCCATTACATCCTTTGTGACGCCCTGTTAAACTGAACACTCTTCTTTCTTTTATCTGCAGTGCATAGCCTATACTGGATCTCTCTTCCTTATATCCAGGGTAATCCTCAGATCTCACTACTACAATCTTTGCCCTGCTTCTCACTTTGCCAAATCCCCCAGGCTTTCCAATGGTGGGAATGTGTCCCTTTTTTGTGGCTTCCTTCCCTTCCCCATCTATTGAAACCCCATCACTCTATTTCATGATTTCTTAGTGGAACTTAGATTCTCAGCTTTTGGGAGAATGAGAGGGTTGTCAACAAAAAGATAGTCACCAAAGCCATTTCCAAATTCTTCAAAGATTGGGATGAAGGGCCTCTCCGCAAATGCATCGGCTTGGTTGACCAGAGCCTCTTTTACCGTCTCATACCCGGTCAGGACCACCATCTTCTGGAGTCCCATTTGGAGGCTGAAGACGGAACCATACTGTTTGGACAACTGGAATTCAAGGGAAGGAAAAGTCAGAAACATGCTTCTGGCCATCAGAAACTTAGATTTCAAGACTCTTCCTCAGTCCCAAGACTAATATTGTTTCTGCTACATTTCTGTTTGGGGAGAAATTGGGGAGGCTGAGATTTTGCATGATAGTGCTGGATTATATTGTGTATTGAACTCTGTTATTTGTTTTAAAATAATGTTTCCAAATTTCACTGAGTAGGAATTATCCCTGAATAATTAGGGCTGACTTTAAGATATGTATAAGATTGCAATAAGTTTTAGATCCTCTTCGTGGCTGTAGCGGGCATGCTGAAGCCTCTACCAACTCAGGCCTCCAGGAGTGCTCACTCTTCTTCTTCAGTTGCTGCCACCAATTTTATCCAATATTTTAAAAAAAGACAAGTGTTGTTTCAAAACAAAAAATTGTTTATTGGTTTAACAAACTAAAGTAAGTAAATCACAAGATGTTAATCAAGGTCTCTCACTCACTGACACACACAGACTCTTCCCTCACTGACTGTTTGGCTCACAGGCCCATAGACACACTCATCACTAACTCTCACAAAATCTCTCTCTCTCTCAACTAATCTCCCCCTTACATCATACACCCCTTTATATATTCCAGCTCCTCCCCCTTCTGCACCACCTTCCATCCCCTCATTGGCTGATGTTCCACTGCCCAGCTGTGACGGACAGGTGAGGGCAGGGCTGAATGCTACAGTGGCCTCTGTGAATACACATATATGGGTTTAGTCTGCGCCTGCGCTGACGTTCTCGGAGCATTCCAGAGCTAAAAGTAACAATTTTATGGGATGATCCCCCATGATGCACATGCTCCTCCCACCCAAAATTTCCCCTCATTGGCTGATGTTCCACTGCCCAGCTGTGACGGACAGGTGAGGGCAGGGCTGAATGCTACAGTGGCCTCTGTGAATACACATATATGGGTTTAGTCTGCGCCTGCGCTGACGTTCTCGGAGCATTCCAGAGCTAAAAGTAACAATTTTATGGGATGATCCCCCATGATGCACATGCTCCTCCCACCCAAAATTTCCCCGTGAGTTGTTTTCTTTTCACTTGCCAGCTATTTGGCTTACCCCCCCCCACACACACACACTTCAACTGTTTACTTCTTTCTCCTTTCCCGCCTTTTTCGGCCTCCTCATTTTGACTCTTAGGCACATTAATGATTTTCTGCCTGAGTAAGCTACATCTTACCCAGATAGGTACAGCCTTTACCCCGCTTTTTCGGCTACTGCAACTGTCTAGTCACCTGAAAAATAGATCGGGTGACACTCCCGGTTTCCTCTCACATAGCTTCCCCCCGATCCAGTAGGGGACCTGACAATGCCAATCCTTAAAATCTAAGTCTACATCAAGAGAGGAATCCTTGACGGAGGCTAGCGAATTTGCCTCTGAGGAGACGATGTGCCAGCTCTACCTGCACAGACTCCGGGATCGCCTGACAGCCTCTCTCCTCCAACTGGCCATTCAGTGACTGCGCTACCGTCCAGTCCGGCCGTGGCCCTTTTTAGCCCTACACGAGGGCAGGCATTTGACGTTCCTGAGTTGGAGATCGAGTCTCTATCTCGATCTCATGAGCAGAGGATAGTGAAAAGGAGGCATGTCTCACCACAGCCTCTCTATGAGCAACCATGAGAGAGACTGGTGAATCATCGATGGATGATTGTTTCAAGGGGCTCGTTCATACAACTGTTTTGACCCCGCAGGAGTTAGGGCTCTGTCGCCCTGTCCCTAGGAGAAGAAGGGCCTCCTGTTGCCCCGGTCACCTTCCCTGACTGTCAGTGATTCCTCCTGACATGGGAAGCGCCTCTGTGTGTGAGTGCCGCACACCAACCCTAGATCACCATCATCTCCTCTAGAGCACATGCTCCAGAATAATTATGTAAGACGCTCACCAGCATTTTGTCTGGACACTACCAGAACTTCTAAACAGATGACAGGCTCTTTTTATGCTTTCATTCTTTTCATTTCGAAAGTCCAGTTTTGTCCTATCAATCTCTAGATCGATGGTCCATACTGTATCTATGGTTTGCCAGTGGTCAGACGAGTCATCGTCTAATCAGCTTTAGCCTCGCTCCACAGAGTGCTGTCTACCTTGGCTGCATCGACATCTACCGTGCACCAATATGATCCATGCCATCTACCTTTG